TGAGTAAGATTTGGTCCTTGTCTGCAAAGTTTAATCCCTTTATAATTGCCTGCCTGGCTCTCAGATTTAATGAGATGGGAAAGGATCTCAGAGATGAGGATGAATATGTAAGGGGACAGTGGGTCCCCTTGTCTAATACCTCTTGTTGGTTTCACAAAACCTTGCGGGGAACCATTAATATTAAAGGAGAATGTAGGGGAAGAAATGCATGCAATAATCCATTTAACAAATGAAGCATGGAATCCCATTTTGATCATAGTTTGATGGACAAAAGGCCACTCCACTCTGTCAAAGGCTTTACTCATATCCAATTTGAGGGCCATATAACATGTGCTGCTCTGTCTGTGATTCTTCAGAAAATGCATAATTTCTTGGGCCACAATCACATTATCTAAAATTTGCCTATATTTAACAAATGCAGCTTGATTCTCAGAAATGCAAGAAGGCAGACAAGGTTGAAGTCTGGTGGCCAAAATTTTAGAAATGATTTTGTATGCAGTGCCATACAAACTGATTGGTCTAAAATGAGAAACTCTCTCAGGGTTGGGAATTTTTGGTATCAGTGTAATGAGTGTGTGGTTTAGACTTTTTAGAATTTGACCAGATTCAAAGAAGCTCAAAATAGCAGCACACAAGTCAATATGAATAATATCCCAAAAATCTTGAAAAAAACAAGAAGTCATACCATCTAAGCCTGGGGCTTTGTTTGGGTTGATAGAGAATAGGGCCTGCTTGACTTCTTCCATACCTACTATTGCAGTATGCTCCATATTTTGATCCTCACTTATCCTTGTTGTCATATTTTGCAGGATGTCAGTCCTTGTGCCATAAGCTCTGTGGTGAACAGCTCTTGATAAAATTCCTCCACACAATCTGCAATTTCTCTTGGATGCACACACTCTGAGTTGTCATTGTTGAGGAGCCTAGTGATGGAATTTCTTTTCCTCCTCTGAATAGTACTAGCATGAAAAAATCGAGTGTTTTTGTCTCCTTCTTTCAGCCATAAAATTCTCGACTTCTGCTGCCAGTACCTTTCTTCTTCTTTATGCACTTCTTCTAACTGCTTAGTGAGGGAATCCCACAAATGCCAGTCTTTAAGACCCCCCAAGTTCCTCTGAACTTCAAGCTGAGCATTTAAAAGAGTAATTTTCTTGTTGTATTCTCCTCTGAATCCACTACTCCATTTAAGCAAAGCCACTCTGGTCAAATTAATTTTAGATAAGAAACTGAACATGGGGGTACCAGAAGTTTCTGATTTCCAAGCCTTTTCAATGGTCTCATTTAATCCTTGCTTGCCCAGCAAGTTCTTGTAGAAACTAAATCTTTTACTATGGTGGCCTTTGTCAGGGTGAAGATTTAAGAGAAGGAGACCATGATCAGATGAGCTTCTGAAATTATTGGACACTGAGGCATTTGGATAGAGGGTAGAGCACTGAAGAGATCCAAATATTCTGTCTAACCTTTCTTCCACAAGTCCTTCCCCCAGCCTATTGTTCCCCCATGTAAAATAGTATCCTTGACTTCCAAACTCTTGCATCCCCATATTCCCCACAAAATCTCTGAAAGGTTGCATAGATGAGACATTCCTGGCTATTCCCCCTCTCTTGTCTTCAGGTTGCATTAAGTCATTCCAGTCCCCCCCAAAAACCAGTTCTGGCCCCAATTTGTTTTATCATCTTCTAAACAAGCCCACTGCAACTTCCTTTCTCTGAGGTCATTACTCATATAAACAAAGTTACCCCAAACAAAATTCTTCTTCTCAGAATCCCAAAATTCTACTAGAATACAAAAAGGATGCTTAATAATCTGCTTAATAATAATGGAGTCATTCCAAAAGACAGCTAGTCCACCACTCCTCCCTTGAGGCTCCACAGAGGACCAGTTACCTTCCACTCCTAGGGATCCACTAACTGTATTAACAAAATGCTGATTTTTTTTTTTTTTGTTTCAAATAGAAATACCAAAACTGGGTGGTGGAGCTTCCACATCTCCTTAAGTTGGGAAATTGTAGAGGGCCCACCCAGCCCTTTACAATTCCACATAATGATCTTCATTGATTAATTTGGGGCCAATTTAGGCTGGCTTCCTCTTCTTGGACTCTGCTTTCAATTTCTTGGACACATGAGCATTATCTACTGATGGTTCTGATTCTTGCAGTGATAGTTGCCTCTTCCCTGCAATAGGTTTGGTTCTAGTGATGGCCTAATTATCTGGGATTGATTGGTTGCTATTTGGCTCCCTTCTTTTCCATCCTATTTTGGTTGATGGTTCAGTTTGGATAGGGACTGGAATGTTGGCCAGGTGTTTATCTGAGCAGGTGGTGATGAGGTTCTGGCTGTTAGGTGAATCAAGCAAGGGTGTCTGCAATGGAGTTTCTTCTGTCTCTATTTGGAGGGGTGTGCTGTCTACTGTTAAAGGTTGAGGGTTTATGGCTGTATGGGCAGCAGGGGTGATGTTGTTATTAGGTAATGGCTCTTTGGTGGCTTCTGGCTGAAGGAGAATTTTCTGACTATTGCTAGGGATATCAGGGTTAGGCGGGGTAATCTGGTGTAATGGTGTTAGAGGATGATTGCTTGTTTGAGAAGAGGGTTTTGGGTTGGGAGTCTCTTTGTTTGTGGAGGGTTCAAGGTTATTGTTGTTATGAGAATTTAGAAATGAGGCTGCTGACTGAAAATCTTGAGCTCTGATCCATTCTCCGAACATACCCCTTCTCAATTTCCCTTCAGCAATATCTGATGCTCTCTGGTCATATGCTCTATCCAGGTGGCCCAATATACCATAGTAGTAACATGTTGCTGGTAGCCATTCATATTTGAAGTCAACAATAATTTTCTTAGCCCCTAGTTGAATGCTAGCACATCTCATCAATGGTTGCGTAATATCCACCGCTGCAAGGATTCGAATACATTTTCCAGCTAATAATCCTCCTTGAGGAATTAAGACATCAGCTGTTCTATTGAAAACCTTTCCGATTTTCACTCCGACTTCTTCTGTGGTCCAGTTAATCGGAATGTTCCATATGTGAACCAAAATTTTAAGCTCCCGAAAATCAGGGTGGTCCTCCGTAATGTCTTCCTCCCAATCTCGCAGAATTAACGCTTGATTCTCAAATGTCCATCCCACTCCTTTCGACACTTTCTCCTTGTCTTCCAATTCAGAGAATATGAATTGAAAGAAGTTAGGGCTGGGTTCTCGAACTGCCACTGACTCTTTGATATGCCAGATTATTTTTATTGTTCTTTTGAGGCCTTTCAAATGCGCTTTCTTCCCCCCGATTAGTTTTCCAACGAGACTTTTCCGACATTCCTCTGCACTCAGCTGAACGTCGTTATTTTCTATGGGAATAATGTTGGCTTCCCTTTCCGACAAGTGAAAAGATCCCAGTTGATGCACAATGTCCTCTCCTTCTTCCATAATCCGAAGCGAGCAATAGTAGGTAAGAAGAAATCCAAAGCCCTAACCTGCACCAAAATCCAAACAAGCGAAGACACAGAAATACTGAAATGGAAAATACACGAAACAACCCTAATAACAGACTTACAGGGACGAGAAACCCTCAAATGAGGTGATCAAGTGCTGAAAAATCAGGGATAAAAGCTCGCTAAGAGGAATATTGAGCTCTCAAGGAGAGAGGAATTTTTAAGTATGGTTAAGGCAGGCTACTTGTTATGGTGATTGTTGAAATCATAATTAGTTAAAATCATGTGAGTGAACTAAAACTTTATAATTGATATATATTATTTAATTATATGAATAATATTAAGATTAAGAAGTTGAGTTAAAATTAAGTAAGATTTTGAGTAAAGATTAAATGTGAAGCAGATATTTTAAAACAAACACCCCCTAAAGAATTGGTTTTGACTGGTCGGATCGTTATTATTTCCATTTCTTTATAAAATTAATTTTAGTATGTTTAAATAGATAGTTAATATAAATAAAATATATACGTAAATATTTTAGACAGTGATAAATTATTATATTAATTAGTGTAGGACTTTAAATGTTTAAAATTATCTAAATACTCAATAAACCAAATTTTTATATATAAAAAATATTATTTAAAATACTATATATAGTTAAAAATATTAATAAATTAAAATATCAGTTCAATCATTTCAATTATCAAACCATTCAACTATTTTTTTTTTCGAAACGACAAATTTTATAAATAAAAAACAAATAATTACAACTAGACATCAGCTAGAATAAGTCAAGCGGCCATCGAGCCGAATCTAACAAGAGGACTACACACATAAGTGTATCCTAAAAATAGCCTCACTAACGCACCCACTACCACAAGTAACTAAATATATTCCCACAAAGAGAAAATCAAACTTCTACGTAGAAGAAAAACCATTCAACTAATAACTTGACCAATATATTATTAGAACCTTCGTTTGTACATTACTTCATGTTATTAGTCAGTTCTCAACTTTCATTTACAACCACCATATGCATATATTTTTAATTGGTAATTGCTTCACCAAAGACAACTTAAATGCACGAGCAATTCTTTGGATATATTAACTATTCACAGCATTCATTACAGAGCATTAAGATAAATACTAAATTGACCCAACTACATGTCAATTCTATTCATGGTATCACATCAATTATGCTATTAAATGGGTGGATATGCATGTATTTAAGTTCAATTTAAGGGTTAATTGCTGTCATATCACCTCAAGTTCCGTTTAATCATGAACAAGTCCTTACTACTTGTGAAAATTTGCTTTGTACGCCCCTTCAAATATTCATGCCTTTTTTTTTTTTTTTTTCGAAACGAAAATTAGATTAAAATAAACTCAAACAAGGTTCACACGAGTAATCTACTGATTACATATCCTAACTCACTAGACAACTAGCAAGAAAAGAACATGAGCAAAGGCATCACCTTCACCCTAACCAACCAAACATGGCCCTAGCAAGAAGAACCTACTACAAATTTACAAGATACAAACTGTTTCAACAGTGTAGAAATATCTATAATAATGTCAGAGACAGGAGAATAAGGTTGAGAAGATCCTGTTGATGTTGTTGTTATGTTCAGCAACTGCACCAAATCTTCATGCCCTTACAATGCACAAATCCGTTATAATTTGAGTAATGTTGTAAATGCAATATTTTTAATTTTTGATAATGCATTTATACTTGGATTGTAACACAAGTTTTCATTCAAGTGGGCGAAATATCATTACTCAAACAATCCCCCTATATATTAATACAGAATGCGTTGAGCCTACGTTGCTGCTTCTGGTGCTTCGGAATCCTACATGGCAAAAGTACATGCTTCGTTAGTAGGCTTGGATAAATTTTAATTTAATTCCAAACCAAAAATAATTAGGTTCGTATTACCATAAATATGTTGATTATTTATGGTCATGTTACATGTATTAATTGTATTTTAATATCATTCCTTATTATAACTATTGAATTGTATATATATTTTAAAAGTTAATAACTTTTGTATTTTTTATCAGTTTTGCATATGTAATATATCAAATTAATCTTCTTTTGATAAGCTTCGATTTAACATCCATATTGTATGTATAAAAATAATAATTTATATTTATCTTTATAACAATAATAAAATTATTTTTAATATTAATTAGAAAAATAAAATTATTTATCAACTATATATTTCAAGTAGTTATATGATATAAGTTATAAAAACTAATATAATATAACACATGTAAGTAATAAGTAACACATATCATTCTAAAATATATAGTAATATATTTTTTTTTTTTTGTAAAAAAGTAAACTAAATTTAATATAATTTTCTCATTAATTTTAAAATTTAAGAATAATTTTTTAACAAGCACCCGTGTAATACACGGGTATTGTACTAGTTTATAATATTAGGATAAATTTGTTATACCATGAAACTCAAATTCCTACGGTAAAATTAGACTCTAAAAACAATGAAAGAATTATATTTCATTTATCTCACATTTTCTCTCCTCAATTTTATTAAAGTAATTTTCTTATTCAACTTTAGCGCACATTTCTCTGACATTTTCTTATTCAACTTTAGCAACCTAATGTGCCCCATTCCCTTGCCCCTTTTTTTCTGTCGCACTCCTAGTCCCGCTTTTCTTCTCGCCGCAGCCCCCCTTCTCCTGCCGGAAGCTCGCAATTCTTCGCCATTTGCTTCAGCCGGGGATGAGGCGGGAGACTTCTTCACCCACATGCTGCCTAGTGCGGAAGAGGGTCAGCAACACATTGCACCACGTAACCCTCTTTCTGTCCATGTTCCAGGTTGTTGTCTCTTCTCTCTGTCTCTTGCCTCATTCTGGTCAATTGAAGGCTTCTTGGCCTCTGGTTCGTCGTTGTTTTTAGGTTGGAGCCTCACTGGTTGGCCTTTCACCGCTAGGTCGGTCTCCCTTCGGTAGCACGGAGTTGGGTTCCACCTGCGCAGCTCGTGGAGCCAAACCCCATGGGTCCTCTTATTCCTCTAATTCGAGTCTTCGGGAACTCAGATCTAGACTCAGGCTTGCTTTCCCACCGGTTCTTTCTAGTCGCTTTTGCAGAGTTTTAAGTTTTGGAGTATATCTGTAGCTTAGGCTCTAATCTTAGGTTTATTTTGTTGGGATTGTTGGCTTGTGTGCTCGTATGGGTTTTTGTTGTGGGTTACTAACGTTGAGTAGGGGAGGTAGGAGTTTATATAGGTTATGTGTGTGTTTATTTAATTAGTGTGTTATTCTCCAAGTGTTGGAGTATGTATTCTCCACTGTTGCAGTAGGAAGTTTCCCCTGATGAGAGTTTTTTAATTTTGTGTGGGAATTCGACGTTTAGAGTTTGGTTCCAGTACTCTTGTCTTTGCCGGAAACTTGGATAAGTCTTTCAGGTGTTTTAACTTTAATTTTGGACACTTTCATTAGTGCTCCTCTTAGATTCCATCATTTGATGTTTCTGATTACAAATTTAGCCTTCGAGCTTTATTTTGTATTCATCCTTTTGGGCTTTATAAAAATGATAACTTAACTTGCATTTCTGTATTTTTCAAAGAAAGCAAATAGCCGAATCACAAAAAATTTGATTGCCTTGAAGAAACAGATGCCCCGATACTGTGCAACGAGTACCACGCCTTTTTTCCCAGGATAAAGCGACTCAAAGTGTGAAGACTGCACTATTAACACACTTCCCTCGATCCAAATCTCAGTTGCCAAGATCCCTTAATTTTTCTAAGTTTTTGAAGGATAAAAGAGAATATATGTATATGTTTCTTTTCTTTTCCTTCACTTGGTGTCTTCTTACCGTAAGCTTCCTTGCACTTTTTATAATTCTCATAAGGCAAGCGTACATTCAATGAAGAGGAGTTTCATTAAAGACTTCATTAAGTAAAAAGTAATGAAACTAGTATAAAAATATTGAGTTTTATTCTCACATCTCAAAACCGAACACGGTTAAGTTTTCATCACATTGAATTTTGGACATATTCACATGTAACATTAAACAACACACCATCTAAGGATTCTCACACACATACAATATCTCTTTTCACATTTAATATTTATTACAACAATCCCCCACAAATCCTTAGATGGTAATTATCAGGGTCATCATAAGTTGCTTTCAGTAAAGGTACCTTCATGTTTGAACCATCACCTAAGTTATCCAACATCTGTCATCACCAAAATGAATGGATCTAAGCCTTGAATTCATGTTGTGAGTGTAATGACTTTCATTAGTAACAACAACTTATAGGCTATGTTTTGATCTCATGTTTCATGAGTATCTTCAAGGAATAACCATTTCCCTTAGTCGCGACCAAACAACTATGCTCGTTTAGTTAGACATCTCCAAAGATGCATTGCTTATACTTGTTTAGAAAACTCGACCCCGTTCAGAGATAAACTCTTACTATACTTGCAATTAACAGCACCTTCCAGGTATGCTAGGGAAAGAACACATTATACTTTATATACAAAGTATCAGTCTTGTAAATTTAGGTGCACAATGATACATTCAACAACTTGTTTATACCACATTCAACCTTCCTTTTGGGATCACCACTTGAAAGGTTGGGTTGCTACTTCAGATGTATCTCTTATAGGTTTTTCAGTTCCATCCCTAACCTAGATTTTTGGACTAAGGATAGATGAAGTCCTTTAGTCAAAGGAATAAGCCAAGTTGTCTTTAGAATTAATAAAGTCGACGACCATAACCTTATCAGACACTAGTTCCCTTATAGACTTTATTCTAACTTGGATGTGTCTCTTTGTTTTTCTGATTGAACTTTTGACTTCTTATTTTTGCAATTGTGGTTTCACTATCACAATGCTCTGTAAATGCAATATTTTTTAATTATTTGATAATGCATTTACACTTGGATTGTCACCCAATTTGTCATTCAAGTGGGCAAAACATTACTCAAATAATTTATATTATTAGGATAAATTTATTATACC